CCGCGTTCCAGCACGACATGGTCGACCGCGCTCCAGCGGTGCAAAGTCGCGATCTGGCAACGCTGCAAGTCGACGGCGTGCCAACGCTGCAGCAAGGCGGCTGCACATCGTTGCACCGCAGGACAGCAGCGCACCCGCTTCGCATGTGCCCGCAGTTGATTGGCGTGCTGTGCCTCGTCACCTGCACAGCGCAGACGCCAAGCCGACCACGTGCCCACGATTGCACCTGATCCGCCCACGTCAACCTCGGGATACCACCTCCGAGGTCGGCTTCGCCAGAACCACCTGGGCGACTGTCGCGCACCTCCGCAGAACTTCGTCGCCCGGGTAACTTGGTCGACCTGGAAACCACCAGGTCGGCGTCGACTTCTTCGGGGAAAGTCGACCAGAAGTTGTACGTGCTCGTCGACTGCCCAAGTCCACGACCACCACCCGACTTCACCAAGTCGGCCACTCCCCAGGTCGGCGCCACGAAGTGCGCCTCCAAAGGTCGACCTCGCCTAGGTCGACAACCAGAACTCGGCGCCCCTCAAGTCGGCGCCACTCCTCTTCATGCTTGTTAACCACCCAGGTCGACGACAACCGCCGGTGGACCACACCAAGTCGACCATACCCCTGGTCGACCAAACCCAGGTCGACCAGCCCTGCTGTCAGCCGACCACACCAAGTCGGCTTCACTAGGTCGGCGTCACCAAGTCGACGCCCTGCCAGGTCGATCCCAAGTCGACCTCCTGAAGTCGGCGCCCTCCCAAGTTGGCGCCCACTGCTGCAGGTCGGCTGCACCTCCCGCACACCCGACCTCGAAGTTGGCTCCGCCCAAGCGAGGACGGGGCCAACACACAACTCCCGTTGACACCAAGCAAGGTGCCATGGCGGCTCAGGCAGATGAGGGAGATGATGAGGAGATGGCTTTCTGTTTCTTCACGCCTCTGCCTGGAGAACCAGCCACATTGGAGGAGGCACTGAGTGGACACCAGAAGGAGGAGCGGAAGGCTGCCATGTATGCGGAGTTCAATAGTCCGATTGAGAATGGGACGTGAGAGCTTGTTGAGCTACCCGAGGGGCGACGGCCAATCAGCAGCAAATGGGTCTTCAAGGTGAAGACTGGAGCTGATGGTGCACTGGAGCCGTTCAAGAGCCACTTGGTCGCCAATGGGGGTTCTGCAGAAGAAGAAGATTGACTTCAAGGAGATCTTCGCCCCCGTTGCTAAGCTAGCAACATCGAGGACTTTCCTTGCAGGCACAGCTGTGAAGGGATGGTACGTGAAACAAATGAATATCACCACTGCATTCCTCACTGGAGTGCTACTGGAGGATATCTACATGGCGCAGCCCGACGGCTATGAGGATGGGACCAGCCGGGTGTGCAAGCTCAATAAGGCTATCTATGGCCTTAAGTAAGCGCCCAGTTGCTGCTACGAGAAGCTGGAGGAGGTGCTGCTGGATGGAGGCTTCAAAACGTCCCAAGCGGATCACGCCTTGTTCCTGCTTGGAGAGGGGGAGCAACAGCTCTTGCTGCTGGTGTATGTCGATGACATACTGCTGTTCTCATCTTCCATATAACAGATTGAGAGGACTAAGAAGTTGCTGAAGGACAACATCAAATGTAAGATGCAGGGGGGTGTCCAATACTACTTGGGGCTGATTGAGAGAGATGTGTTGAGAGGAGGTGGCTTGAGGTGCATCAGTCACACTACATCTCTTGTGCGATGGAGCACTATGGTGTGGCTGGGGGTCGCACTGTGATGACGCCGTTTCATGCAGGCTTCAAGCTGAAGAAGGCAGTTCAGGATGATGATCTGCTCGAGGATGAGCTGCAGATTGGGTACCAGTCACTCATTGGGCGTATGATGTATGCAGTTGTGCATATGCGACCTGATTCTTTATTCGGAGTGGGACAGCTAGCCAGAGTTGTGCAGCAGCCCACCGAGGAGCAGCTGGAGGTGGCAAAGTGCATGGTTCAATTTTCAGCTGCTGGCCAGCTGAAGCACCCTGGAGCAGATGGGATGACGCCTGGAACCTTGAAGCTGTCGTGCTTCACTGACGCTACATGGGCCTCAGAGGAGGAGGATTATTCATCTGTGGGTGGCTTTGTGTGCATGGTCGGAGGTGGACCAGTCAGTCGGAGGTTCAAGAAGCAGAGTGAGATTGCCCAGTCTTCGGCAGAGGCAGAGTACCTGGCAATGTACCATGCCATCAACAAGATTGTGCCCTTGAGGAAGCTGCTGGAGGACATGGGAGCTGAACAAGAGGGACCTACACCACTTTTCTCCGACAGCAAGGGTGCTATTGGCATGGCCACAAATCCTATCCTGAATGGGCTGCAGAAGCACTGTTGGTGCAATCCTATGGTTTGCATTCGGCTTGTTGTCCTTGCGCATGCATGCGTGTGTGCATGGAATGGTATGAGGGAATGAGATAATATATATTTTATGCGTATAATAGTGTACGAATGATGAGTTGTGATGTCGAATGTGTGTGTCGAGTCAATAACGAGTTTTCGCTAGTCGCGTGTCACGTCGTCGTTTGTGTGTCGTGCGCGTTTTCTACTTTGTCGTGTTTCGAACGTTCGGCGTGTCACAGGCATGTGCATAAAACTTTCAAGGACTCAAGGAAGAGTCTATGGTGACGACCCAGAGCCTTAGTTTCAAGTTTCAAGTAATTTCGAAGCTCGCCAAAAGGGTAAACACCAAGATAGTGAGAATAGTTACATTTCATTGTGTAGTGTATCCTTTCTCTTGGTGTAGGCCCTTGTGGTGGGTAGTTTCGAGACCCTTCGAGGTTGGGCACTGTGTGGCACTGTTCCACCTCCCTGAACCTTGGCACTTGGGGTTTGTAGAGGCTGGGAGTCATTCCCAACTCGTCACTTCTTCCTAATTTGTGCTCTAAGGCTATAGTTGCTGCCAGACTGCCGTTCGGTTAAACTTACATACTGTCGTCGTTTCTTTATGAAATTGAGTGATTCACATTGCCTAATATAGACAACGTTAAGGCGCTCCAGGTCCAGTTGATAAGATATTTGTTGGTGCTGTTACCAGAACGCTATCAAGTTTTAAAGCCGCCCTGCCGAAATCCGTTTGAGCCCTCTACCTTTCGTTTTAGGCACATTCGAACCTACTGTGACTATAACAAGTGGTATTAGAGCCCCTCAGAGCAGAGGTGGCAGAGGTGCTGGTAGCAGTGGAAATTCCCAAGCTCAAGGCCAACCCCGTGATCCCCCCATGTCTCCCATGCAACCAAGTCTTGGGCCACCTAGGGATGAGCCTAGGGTGTTTGGGCTTGACAAGTTCAATGGGGACAACTTTGCTGAGTGGTCCTTCAAGATGGAGAACATCTTTGAACATTATGACCTGCTGGAGGTGATGGAAGGAGTGGAGAAGCGCCCCAAGAACGACCCGGAAAAGTGCTCGTGGGTGCGGAAGAGCGCACAAGACTATGTCCTATTTGGGCAAGCGTTGGGGATCAGCCAGATCCGTCACATCAAGCCTTTCCAGCGTGAACCAGAGAAGGGACCCAAGGCATGGGCTGCTCTCAAGGGTGTATATGCTCCTGCAACAGCGGCGGTAGCGGTGGTGTTGGTGCGGTAAATGGCAGCACTATGAATTGAAGAAGACGAAGCGGTTGAAGAAGAGGGTGCAGAAATTCTTCGACTTGTTGACGCGGCTTGAAGGAGCGGACCTCAACAATAGTGAGCTCCATAAGAAAACCAAGCTGCTGGCCTTGCTTCCTGAGTCATGGTCCTCGCTCATCGTCAACCTCAATCGCGATTTGCCCCGCCTCTCGCTCGAAGACGTGAAGCGAGCAATTCTTCAAGCCGCCGTGAGTTGGCGGGTCCCGATGGCGCGGGGGCAGCAAGCATCGGTCGTGGATATGGCCGAGGAAGGGGCAGAGGACGAGGAGGAGGATGGTTTGGCAGCAGCAACTACAACTGAGGCCGCGGGTTTGGCGGATACTGCTATAGTCACAATATGCTCAAATGTGCCTAAAACGAAAGATAGAGTGCACAGTCGGATTTCGGCACAGCGGCTTCAAATGTTGATAGCGTTCTGTTCACAGCTCCAAATGACATGCTCTAAGTTGGATATAGAGCGCCATAACGTCGCCTACAATAGGCAATTTAAATCACACGTTTTTTATCAAGTATTTGTTGGTGCAACCTACGGTTTGCACTCGGCTTGTTGTCCGTGTGCGTGCATGCGTGTGTGCATGGAATGGTATGAGGGCATGAGATAATATATATTTCATGCTTATAATAGTGTGTGAATGTTGAGTCATGATGTCGAATGTGTGCGTGTCAAGTCAATAGCGAGTTATCGCTATTCGTGTCCCGCGCGGTTTCTATCTTATCGCTTGTGTGTCTCGCGCGGTTCCTATTTTGTCCTGTGTAGAACGTTCGGCGTGTCGCAGGTGTGTGCAGCAGACCCATGAAGAACTCAAGGATGAGTTTGTGGTGAAGAACCAGAGCCTTGGTGTCAAGCCTCAAGTGATTTCGAAGCTCGCCAAAAAGGGTACACTTCAAGATGTTGAAGATAGTTACATTACAATGTGTAGTGTAACACTTATGTTGGTGTAGACCCTTGTGGAGGGTAGTTTCGAGACCCTTCTTGGTTGAGGACAGTGTGGCACTGTTCCACATCACTGTACCTCGGCTCTTGGGGTTTGTAGGAGCTGGGAGTCATTCCCAACTCGTAACTCTTCCTAACTCTTCCTATTGTGTGTTCTAAGACTATAGCGGCTGCCATAGTGCCGTTCGTTCAAACCGATGCGGTGTCGTCAATACTTGGTGAAATCGTGCGATCTAAATTGCCTATTGTAGGCGACGTTAAGACGCTCCAGATCCAAGTTAAACCAGGTCATTTGAAGCTGTGACCAGAACGCTATGAACGTTTAAAGCCGCTGTGCAGAAATCCGACTGTGCACTCTATCTTTCGTTTTAGGCACATTGAAGCCTACTGTGACTATAACAAGTGGTATCAGAGCCCCTTGGAGCAGTTTCGACAATGGCTGGACCTGAAGAGAGGGGTGGCAGAGGTGCTGGTGGCAGTGGAGAAGCCCAAGCACAAGGCCAAGCCCGTGATTCAGCCGTGGGGCCCGTGCAACCTACTCTTGGACCTTCTAGGGATGAACCAAGAGTGTTCGGGCTTGACAAGTTCAACGGTGACAACTTTGCTGAATGGTCCTTCAGAATGGAGAATGTGTTTGATCACTATGACCTGCTGGAGGTGATGGAAGGAACGGAGAAGCGTCCCGAGAACGACTCGGAGAAGAGCCCGTGGGTGCGGAAGAGCGCACAAGGCTATCTCCTACTTGGGCAAGCGTTGGGGAGCAGCCAAATCCGTCACATCAAGTCATTCCAGCGTGAACCAGAGAAGGGACCAAAGGCATGGGCTGCTCTCAAGGGTGTACACGCTCCTGCAACAGCGGCGGTAGCGGTGGTGTTGGAACGGCAAATGGCGACACTACGAATTGACGAGGATGAAGCGGTTGAAGAAGGGGTGCAGAAATTCTTCGACTTGTTGACGCGGCTTGAGGGAGCTGATTTGAACTACAGTGAGCTCCAGAAGAAGACCAAGTTGCTGGCCTTACTCCCAGAGTCATGGTCCTCGCTCATCATCAACCTCAACCGAGATCTGCCCCGCCTCTCGCTCGAAGATGTGAAGCGAGCAATCCTTCAAGAGGACTTCCGCCGCCGTGAGTTGGCGAGTGCGGATGGCGCCGGGGCAGCAAGCATCGGCCGGGGGTACGGCCGTGGAAGAGGCAGAGGACGAGGGGGAGGCAGATTTGGCAGCAACAACTTCAATAGAGGCCGCGGGAGTGGCGGTTACGGCAGCGACGACAAGAGCTATGGACGCGGTCGCGGCCGATTCGACGGCGAATGCCATTATTGCCACAAGACCGGACACATGTGGCGCGATTGCTACAAGCTCCCTGAAGGATGGACCCCTGCTCAAGGCCAAGAGGGTAGAGGAGCAGGAGGAGGGAGAGGAAGAGGCCGTGGAGGCCGTGGCGGTCGCGGAGGCGGTGCTGCAAATATGAAGAACGAAGATAACGACAAGGGTCCAAGCGACGATCGGTACCCGGGTCTATTCTACTTCGTGTCGACGCAAGTACCGGCTGGTCCAGAGAAGGACGAAGGCTTTGAGGAGCCAGCAGCTGTGGGAAAGGTGACCCTACACCCCCTGGAATTTTGGGTGATCGATAGCGGCGCTACCTATACCATGACACCTCGCGCGGACTTGCTCACCGAACTTGAACCGTCACCGGTGAAGCATGTCACATCGGCTTTGGGGCAGCGAGCAGAGGTGAAAGGCATGGGCAAGGCCATGTTCAATGGTGCTGATGGGAAGATGGTGGGCCTCAAGAAAGTGCTTTGGGTGCCCAGCCTTGCAGCCAACCTGATTTCCGTGCGGCGATTGGCAAAGGCCGGCATGGACACGAACTCGAAGGGAGCCAAGACCTACACCGCGAGGCTTGGCGAGCGGACTCTATGGGACCTTCACGAGGATAGGGACGTCTACAACGAGATGTCGCAGATCCCTGTGGTCCCCATGCCTAAGGAGAGGCAAGTGGCAGCAAGTGTCAGCACCAAGGGTGAAGCGGGTGGTAGCGGCTACGGCGCGAACGATGGCGCCAAGGCGAAAGAGTCCAACAAGTGCAATCTTGGAGGGACCAGCAAGCTGTGTGAACTTAAGGAGAGTGGTGCAGCAGTCAAGAAGCAGCACAAGGGTGAGAAGAACCCCGAGGCAGCAGCGGAGGAGGACAACGGAGAGAGCATATGGGGCGCTATTGCGAGCGCGGCATTCTCCAATCCAACTTCGGCTACGGGGGAGTGTGATTGGCTCACCTTGCATCGGCGAATGGGGCATGTGGCCCTGCCTATCTTGCAGCAGCTAGTCAAGGGTGAGATGGTTGCTGGCATACGCGTGAAGGGGGAGCCCGATGAGGTACTTGGCTGCCCGACGTGCATGCAAGCCAAGTTCACCCGTTTCCCGTTCTCTAGTTCGGAGGCGACGACTAAGGCACCGCTTGATGAGGTGGTGATGGACGTGGTGGGCCCCCTGAAGCTTCGAGCTGCTGGAGCTGAGTATTTCCTCACTATTGTGGACGTCTACACCCGCATAACTTGGGTGTACGTGCTGGCCAAGAAGAGCGACGTAGCTGAAACGTTGAAGACGGATTGGTTCCCGATGGTGGAGCGGCAACAAGACCGTCTAGTGAAGTCGATCCGCACCGATCGAGGGGGAGAGTTCCTGAGCAAGGAGTTCGGATTGTGGCTGAAGAAGAATGGGATAAGGCACTCCCTCACCATGCCATACTCCCCTGCAATGAACGGCATCGCCGAGCGAGCGAACCGGACAATCACGGAGGCGGCACGCGGGTTGCTCATTGAAGCCGGGCTACCCGACTACTTCTGGCCTGATGCGGTGCGGAGTGCGTGTGTGGCCAAGAACAGAGCCTTGACTCATGTGGGAGCAGACAAATGGGTGCCCTATGTGGAGTGGCTAGGAAGGAAGCCAAAGGTGGATATGCTTCGGGTGTTCGGGTGCATGTGCATGGCGCTCGTGCCTAAGCATCTTCGGCACAACAAGCTTGGTGCCAAGGCGGTGTGGGCCGTGCACTTGGGCATGGCTCAAAACAGCAAGGGATGGCTTCTTTGGGACCCATTCACCAAGAAGTTCTTGGTGAGCAGGGACTGCAAGTTCATGGAGAACTTCATGTACAAGGATTGGAAGGCGGAGAATGAGGCGAAGATAGGCGTGCGGTTTGGGGAGGTGAAGAGTTCCGGTTTGGAGCATGTGGAGCTGCCTTTGGAGCTGAGCAGCGGCAGCACAACCACGAGGCAATCCTCCCTTGTGAATGGGGGAGAGGAGGCCAATGATGCAGAGGAAGAAGAGGAGGAGGTGCAGCAAGTGAGCGAGCGTGCACCGTCACTCCCTTCCCGCACTACGAGTGCTCCACGGATTCGAACCACACCGCAGCAACACCAAGGCCTTCAAGTCCCTGCAGCTGAGGAGGAAGGAAGGGGGAAGAGGAGAGTTCAACCCCCTAATAGGCTGACCTATGATGCGCCGGGAAAGCAGGGCAAGACAGCCCTGGCCGGAGCGGCAATGATGGTCGGAGACGACGAGGAGAGTGACTACGAGGAGTGTGCCTTCGCGTTCTTCTCTCCGGTGGAGATGCCGGGAGAACCAGCAACTCTCAAGGAGGCTTTAGAGAGTAGTGATGCTGAGGAGTGGAAGAAGGCCATGGAGAGTGAGCTGAAAAGCATTGAGGAGAACGACACGTTTGAGTTGGTGGAGCTACCGGAGGGGCGTAAGGCGATTACGTCCAAGTGGCTCTTCAAGATCAAGTCCGACGCCGACGGCAAGATCGAGCGTTACAAGTCTACACTGGTGGCCAAGGGGTACCAGCAAAAGGAGAAGGTGGACTACAAGGAGCTGTTTGCTCCTGTGGTGAAGTCGACGACGCTGCGAACCCTATTCGCGGGAGCCGCCATCAAAGGATGGGTGGTAAAGCAAATGGACATCGTAACGGCATTCCTTAACGGCATCCTTGAGGAGGAGATTTTTATGGCGCAGCCAGAGGGGTTGATGATGGTAGTGGCAGAGTGTGGAAGCTGAAGAAGGCCCTCTATGGGCTGAAGCAGGCCCCTAGGCAATGGTACATGAAGCTGCGCGAAGTGTTGGAGGAGATCGGCTTCACTCCCTCAACGGCCGATCACTCCTTGTTCATGCTTGGCGAGGGGGAGCAAAGGAGCTTCATGGTAGTTTATGTGGATGACATTCTCATATTCTCACCCTCCTCTGACCTTGTGAAGGAGGTGATGCTGAAGCTTCAGGACAAGTTCAAGTGCAAGTCCCTTGGTGACGTGAACTTCTACCTTGGGCTCCACATCGAACGAGACGTGGAGAAGCGGTGCATGCGGGTGCACAAACGGAAGTACCTGAAGGCGTTGGCTGCCAACTTTGGCCAGAGTGAAGGCCATGTGGCTACTCCCTTTCCCTCTGGGTTCAAGTGTGTGAAGGGACCAGAGGAGGAGAGCGTTGGTGAAGAGGAGAGGCGCCGTTTTCACTCGTTGGTGGGCAGCCTCATGTATGCGGCGGTAAACACTCAGCCGGACGTGGCCTTTGCTACCGGGCAGCTGGCTAGGGTTGTGCAATGCCCTAATGAGGAGCAGGTAGCAGCTGGAATGAGGGTGGCCAAGTATCTTGGCCAAACACCGACCGTTGGGCTGCAATACTCGGCGGCGGCGCAAAGGCGCCAAAAGGGCGCGGATGGTGTAGAACCCGGGCGTTTGTTCCTCACCGCCTACTCGGATGCTTCATATGCATCGGAACCAGAGGACATGACAAGTGTTGGAGGGTTCATTTGCTGTGTTGGTGGAGGCCCAACTGCTTGGGAGAGCAAGAAGCAGGTTGATCAAGCATTGAGCTCGGTGGAGTCCGAGTACATGGCACTCTTCCGTGCCGTGCGGGAGATTGTGTGGCAGCGGCGTTTGTTGGCTGAATTGGGGGAGGAGCAGCAAGGACCTATCCCTCTCTACTGTGACAGCCAGGGTGCCATTGCTCTTGCTAAGAACCCTGTGTTGCATGGCCTCACCAAGCACATGAGGGTGAAGTGGCATTGGACGAGGAGCATGGTGGCCGCGGGTGAAGTTGAGTTGCACTATGTGAAGACGACGGGGCAGCAAGCTGATATGATGACCAAGAGGCTGGTGGAGCAGCAGCATTGGAAGTGCTGCAAGCTGGCTGGGATGTCTCTGAACTGAGAGAGCAAGATCCTAAGGCCAACAATCCGAGGGGGAGTTTGTTGGTGCAACCTACGGTTTGCACTCGGCTTGTTGTCCGTGTGCGTGCATGCGTGTGTGCATGGAATGGTATGAGGGCATGAGATAATATATATTTCATGCTTATAATAGTGTGTGAATGTTGAGTCATGATGTCGAATGTGTGCGTGTCAAGTCAATAGCGAGTTATCGCTATTCGTGTCCCGCGCGGTTTCTATCTTATCGCTTGTGTGTCTCGCGCGGTTCCTATTTTGTCCTGTGTAGAACGTTCGGCGTGTCGCAGGTGTGTGCAGCAGACCCATGAAGAACTCAAGGATGAGTTTGTGGTGAAGAACCAGAGCCTTGGTGTCAAGCCTCAAGTGATTTCGAAGCTCGCCAAAAAGGGTACACTTCAAGATGTTGAAGATAGTTACATTACAATGTGTAGTGTAACACTTATGTTGGTGTAGACCCTTGTGGAGGGTAGTTTCGAGACCCTTCTTGGTTGAGGACAGTGTGGCACTGTTCCACATCACTGTACCTCGGCTCTTGGGGTTTGTAGGAGCTGGGAGTCATTCCCAACTCGTAACTCTTCCTAACTCTTCCTATTGTGTGTTCTAAGACTATAGCGGCTGCCATAGTGCCGTTCGTTCAAACCGATGCTGTGTCGTCAATACTTGGTGAAATCGTGCGATCTAAATTGCCTATTGTAGGCGACATTAAGACGCTCCAGATCCAAGTTAAACCAGGTCATTTGAAGCTGTGGCCAGAACGCTATGAACGTTTAAATCCGCTGTGCAGAAATCCGACTGTGCACTCTATCTTTCGTTTTAGGCACATTGAAGCCTACTGTGACTATAACAGTATTGATGATGCAACACCAGTTTGAACGAACGGCACTATGGCAGCCACTATAGTCTTAGAACTCAAATTAGGAAGAGTTACGAGTTGGGAATGACTCCCAGCCTCTACAAACCCCAAGAGCCGAGGTACAGTGATGTGGAACAGTGCCACACTGTCCCCAAACACGAAGGGTCTCGAAACTACCCTCCACAAGGGCCTACACCATGAGAAATGTTACACTACACATTGTAGTGTAACTATTCTCACTATCTTGAAGTTAACCCTTTTGGCGAGCGTCGAAATCACTTGAATCTTGAAACCAAGGCTCTGGTTCTTCACCATAAACGCATCCCTTAGTTCTAGAAAGTCTGCTGCACGCACCTGCGACACGCCGAACGTTCGACACACGGCAAATAGAAAACGCGCACGACACACAAACGACGACGTGACACGCGGATAACGATAACGCGCTATTGACTCGACACACACATTCGACATCGTGACTCATCATTCACACACTATGGTAAGCATGAAATATATATAAGCTCATGCTCTCATACCATTCCATGCACACACGCATGCACGCACAAGGACAACAAGCCGAGTGCAAACCACGCGATTGCACCAACAAACTCCCCCTCGGATTGTTGGCCTGAGGATCAGCTCTTCTCAGTTCAGAGCCATTCCAGCCAGATTGCAACACTTCCAATGCTGCTGTTTCACCAGCCTCTTGGTCATCATGTCAGCTGGCTGCCCCGTCGTCTTCACGTAGTGCAACTTAACTTCACCCGCGGCCACCATGCTCCTCGTCCAATGCCATTTCACCCTCATGTGCTTAGTGAGGCTGTGCAACACAGGATTCTTAGCAAGTGCAATAGCAACCTGGTTGTCACAGTAGAGTGGGGTAGGTCCTTGCTGCTCCTCCCCCAACTCAGCCAACAAACGCCGTTGCCACACAGTTTCCCGTACGGCACGGAAGAGTGCCATGTACTCGGACTCCACCGTGCTCAATGATTGGTCCAACTGCTTCTTGCTCTCCCAAGCTGTTGGGCCTCCACCAACACAGCAAATGAAGCCTCCCACACTTGTCATGTCCTCTGGTTCCGATGCATAAGAAGCATCGGAGAAGGCGGTGAGGAACAAACTCCCGGGTTCAACACCATCCGCGCCCTTTTGGCGCCTTTGCGTCGCCGCCGAGTATTGCAGCCCAACGGTCGGTGTTTGGCCAAGGTACTTGGCCGCCCTGATTTCAGCTGCTACCTGCTCCTCATTAGGGCATTATACAACCCTAGCCAGCTGCCCGGTAGCAAAGGTGACGTCCGGTCGAGTATTTACCGTTGCATACATAAGGCTGCCCAGCAACGAGTAAAAACGGCGCCTCTCCTCTTCGCCAACGCTCTCCTGCTCTGGTCCCTTCACACACTTGAACCCAGAGGGAAGGGGAGTAGCCACATGGCCTTCTCTCTGTCCAAAGTTGGCAGCCAAAGCCTCCAGGTACTTCCGTTGATGCACTCGCATCCACCGCTTCTACACGTCACGTTCAATATGAAGCCCGAGGTAGAAGTTCACGTCACCAAGGACCTTGCACTTGTATTTGTCTTGAAGTTTCAGCATCACCTCCTATACAAGGTCAGATGAGGGTGAGAAAATGAGGATATCATCCACATAAACCACCATGAAACTCCTCTGCTCCCCCTTGTCAAGCATGAACAAGGAATGATCGGTCGTTGAGGGAGTGAAGCCGATCTCCTCCAAAACTTCACGCAGCCTCAAGTACCATTGCCTAGGGGCTTGCTTGAGCCCATAGAGGGCCTTCTTCAGCTTCCACACTCTTCCACTCCCATCATCAAACCCCTCTGGCTGCGCCATGAAAGTTTCTTCTTCAAGAACGCCGTTGAGGAATGCCCTTGTCACATCCATTTGCTTCACCACCCATCCTTTGATGATAGCCCCCGCGGGTAGGGTTCGCAGCGTCGTCGGCTTCACCACAGGAGCAAACAACTCCTTGAAGTCCACCTTCTCCTTCTGCTAGTACCCCTTGGCCACAAGCCTAGACTTGTAGCGCTCGATTTTGTCGTCGGCATTGGACTTGATATTGAAGAGCCACTTGGACGTTATCGCCTTACGCCCCTCCGGTAGCTCCACCAATTCCCACGTGTCATTCTCCTCAATGCTCTTCATCTCACTCTCCATTGCCTTTTTCCAATCCTCAGCATCGCTACTCCAAGGCCTCCTTGAGAGTTGCTGGTTCTCCCGGCATCTCCACCAGAGAGAAGAACGCGAAGGCACACTCCTCGTATTCACTCTCCTCGTCATCTCCAACCATAAGCGCCGCTCCGGCCAAGGCTGACTTGGCTGGCTTTTCCTGCGCATCATATGTCAGCCTATTAGAGGCCTGAATTCTCCTCTTGCCCCTTCCTTCCTCCTTAGTAGGGACTTGAAGCAGGGACTTGAAGGCTTGCATGGCGTTGCTAGTGGGTGACGCGAATCCGAGGAGCACTCGTTGCTCGAGGTGGAAGTGTCGGTGCACGCTCGCTTGCTTGCTGCACCTCCTCCCCCTCTTCCTCTCCATTCCTGGCCTCCTCTCCCCCATTCACAAGAGGATATTGCCTTGTGATGGTGCTGCCGATGTTCAGCTCCAAAGGCAGCTCCACATGCTCCAAGCCGGAACTCTTCACCTCCCCAAGCCGCACGCCTATCTTCGCCTCGTTTCCCGCCTTCCAATCCTTGTACATCAGATTTTCCATGAACTTGCAGTCCCTGATCACCAATAATTTCTTGGTGAATGGGTCCCAAAGAAGCCATCTCTTGCTGTTTTGAGCCATGCCCAAGTGCACAGCCCATATCGCCTTGGCACCGAGCTTGTTGTGCTGAAGATGCTTAGGCACGAGCGCCATGCACATGCACCCGAACACCCGAAGCATATCCACCTTTGGCTTCCTTCCAATCCACTCCACGTAGGGCGCCCATTTGTCTACTCCCACATGAGTCAGGGCTCTGTTTTTAGCCACACATGCACTCTGCACCGCATCTCGCCAGAAATATTCGGGTAGCCCGTCTTCAATTAGCAACCCGCGTGCCGTCTCCGTTATTGTCCGGTTCGCTCGCTCAGCAATGCCGTTCATTGCAGGGGATTATGGCATAGTAAGGGAGTACCTTATGCCATTCTTCTTCAGCCACATGGAGATCTCCTTGCTCAGGAACTCTCCCCCTTGATCGGTGCGGATTGATTTGACAAGACGGTCTTGTTGCCGATCCACCATCGGCAACCAATCGGTCTTCAACGTTTCAGCCACGTCGCTCTTCTTGGACAGCACGTACACAAATGTCATTCGGGTGTAGGCGTCGACTATGGTGAGGAATTACTCAGCTCCAGCAGCTCCAAGCTTCAAGGGGCCCACCACGTCCATCACCACCTCATCAAGTGGTCTCTTAGCCGTTGCCTCCGAGCTAGAGAACGGGAATTGGGCGAACTTGGCTTGCATGCATGTCGGGCAGCCAAGTGCCTCATTGGGCTCCCCCTTCACACGTATGCCAGAAACCATCTCTTCCTTCACTAGCTTCTGCAAAATGGGCAATTCCACATGCCCCATTCACCAATGCAAGGTCAGCTAATCACACTCCCCCGTAGCCGAAGTCGGATTGGAGAATGCCGCACTCGCAATAGTGCCCCACATGCTCTCTCCGTACCCCTCCTCCGCTGCTGCCTCAGAGTTCTCCTCACCCTTTTGCTGTTGTTTGGCTGCTGCACCACTCTCTTTATGCTCACAATGCTTGCTGGTTCCTCCAAGTTTGCACTTCTTAGACTCATTCTCCTTGGCACCATCGTTGGCGCCGTCGCCGCTACCAACCGCTTCAACCTTGGTGCTGATGCTTGCTGCCACTTGCCTCTCCTTAGGCATTGGGACCACAGGGATCTGCCACATCTAGTTGAAGACATCCTTGACTTCGTGAAGGTCCCAGAGAATCCGCTCGCCAAGCCTTGCGGTGTAGGTCTTGGCTCCCTTCGAGCTCGTGTCCATACCGGCCTGTTGCAATCGCCGCACGGGAATCAGGTTGGCAGCAAGGTTGGGCACCCAAAGCACGTTCTTGAGGCCCACCATCTTCCCATCAGCACCCTTGAACATGGCCTTGCCCATGCCTTTCACCTCTGTTCGCTG